AGTTCGGCCGCGTGGCGGCGTCACGAATATTCCGCATTGTTTCGGGGAACATTCCGGTCTAGGGGTAAGTTCCTTGCCTCTAGATTCGGCCATCCGGGTTCGATTCCCGGGCAATGCACGTGGTATTGCCGCTACCTGACCGCTCGGAACAGCGTGAGAGTTGCGGACTCCGGTTAGCGCCTTGGTCCACTGGATGTGGTGCTAAACCCAAACCAACTAGTGATGTCAATTAAGGAAAATCGTGATACCGATACCAAACCAAATACCAACAATAGGTATTTGGTTCCATGGATCCTATCCATGTAAAAATACCGAAACCGAACCGACTTGGGAATATGAGGAAAATACCAACTTGTTACCAAATTCTCAGCCTCTTTTACATTAGTCAGGATTCATAATACCAACAAAATACCAAATGCACTCGCCTTGAAATACCAAATACCAAGTCGGTATCGGTTTGGTATCGGTGTATAGTTACCAAACAGTTGGTATTCGATTGACATCTCTAAAACCAACCAGCCATCCGCATTGTTTCAATCAATGAATTGAAAGGCAGAAATTTCTGCAAGGTAGGAACGTTTTTCGGCTACTAGTCGTTTATTGTTTTCGTTTCGAATTTTTCGACACTTAGGAGCAAGCTTAACACTTAGGAGCAAATTATCAACAGTCAAAGACAAACATCTACCGGAAGAGAAGCCCTGTGTATACGAAATCCCCTGTCACTGCGGCAAAATCTACATCGGACAAACACGACGGAAGCTGCAAACAAGAATAAAAGAACATCAAAGAGACGTCAAAAACTGCAATCACAACGGAAGCGCCTTCGTAGATCACCTTTTTGAACCAGGAGAACACGCACCGCTTTGGAACAAAACGACAGTCCTCGAAAACGAAAACAATCTAACGAAACGACTCACGAAAGAAGCGCTACAAATACACGTCAAGAAAAACGACACGATCAACCGAGTAGACGGCACCGCATTCAGTCCTTTATGGGATCAGTGCTGGTAGGGCAACGAGATCCGACGATCAAGCAATCAAAGATTTTAAGCATGTATTTTTAATGTGTCACAGCCTGTTTGTGTGTCACTGCATTCATTCATTCATTCATTCATTCATTCATTCATTTATTCATTCTTTCCTTCAGTCAGTCAGTCAGTCAGTCCGTCAGTTAGCCATTCATTCATTCGTTCATCTATTCATACACTTTTTTCCTCATTAATTTTGGGTACAGAGTTTCAGGTCAGAAATAGCTGGAGGGATTACTTGCACGTTTTTAGATATGATGACCGTACTATTTTTCAAACGTGTTCACGATGCATGTTATTGTCATTGTTATATGTTTCTTGACAACGACCTCGATGCGAAGGTCGAAAATTCGAAACGAAAACAATAACCGACTAGTAGCCGACAAACGTTCCTACCTTGTAATGTCTAGTCGTAAAAGCTTAAAATCATATTGAAATTTCTGCCTTTCAATTCATTGGCGCAAACGATGTAAGTTTGTAGAAAATTATTGATTTTTGATATGTACTGTGCAATGTGTTAATGACCTACTTCATTCTAAACAGTTTACGACTGTGCGATACGATTTTCTGTTCGTTTTAGAATTTACGGCATAATACAGCTCGTATGTCACTGAACCACATTATTAGATGGTTGTAACAATTAAAATTGGTTGAATCATCCAGGTTGATTGTCAACATTGAGGATCAATCGACCAGGGCTGCGGAGTCGATGAATTTTCGGCGACTCCGACTCCGACTCCGACTCCGGCTTTCAAAAACCAGCTCCGACTCCGACTCCGACTCCGGGCAGAATTGTCGACTCCGACCGACTCCAACTCCCGACTCCGACTCCGCAGACTTAGCAGGGCTGCGGAGTCGACAGATTTTCGGTGACTCCGACTCCGACTCCGGCTCGGGTTTCTAAAATCGACTCCGACTCCGACTCCGACTCCGGTCACAACTGTCGACTCCGACCGACTCCGACTCCGACTCCGACTCCGCAGCCCTGCTGAATCGACCATAACCGACTTTCGACATAGATCCAGCATTGATTTCACGTTGATTTTACGTTGTGCCTAATTGCTTTTTCCATCGAAATCAGGTCGATTGTAGCTAACAGAATTACGTTGATACGACATTTGCGTCAATGATGATTCAACGTTGAATCAGAATTCATGTGCTACTAGGGAATTCTTTTCATTACAAAGATGATAGTTTACATTTCACAGATATTTGAAAGCTCCTCCAAACGACAAAAAATTGCAAAGCAACAAAGCCCTACAGGCTACAACCCAGCCAGCAAACTTGGTCTGGGCCGCCGGCCGTAGCTGGTTTTACTCTGGGTAGCTCCGGCATTTGTTCCGGCCAAAGTACGGGCAATGTCTGGGGCTGGAGCTGACACACGATCCCAAAGTCGCCCGCACCACAGCCGGACTTATGCCGTATCAGACTTATGTCGTACCTCAACCGTACCTGCTTCAGCCACAGTAAGTCAGAGCAGCTACGGGGCAGCCGGACCTGGCCGTAGGGAGCCGGACTTGAGCCGTAGCAAGGAGCCGGAATCGAGCCAGACTTGGTTGTCCGAAACCATACCAACTCGGGAGCGCTGCGGCAAAGGCTGCCTAGCCGGAATAGAGCCATATCGACCCAAATCCCGGCTCTGACAGCGTTCCGTTTACATCGGCCCAACTCTGGCATGTTGGAGTTACCGGGGCAAAAGGACTTGAGCCAAACCAAATTGCTAGCTGGGACACCAGTTAGAGTTGGCTGACAGCCGCCACACCAAATGTATAGGAAGCTCCGTCCCTGGGTCTGCTCAACAACGCGAACGGACGCCGCCACTGGCTGCATGGCCAACCGGGCCAGGGCCGTACTGCCATTCGCTCGCAGTATAAGTCCTACTACATAATCGTCAATCACTTGATTGCATACTTGTAAATTATTAGGTACATGCTTGTAAAAGTTTCAGTGAGTCGGATCAGATGAGTGACCTCGTCTTCTGTATCCACTACAAATTCTTCAATTGTTAAAGTTCGAAGCTCGATTTCGAATTTCAGAAATGTATCCTACGTAGCTTTGTAGAGATGGGCCGGCGTTGGTGGCGCCGTGCCGCGGTCATCCGGCCGGCAGCTGCAGCTGCGGCGCGCCTGCCGAGCGCCGACCAGCCGAGTGACCGCTGCCGGCCCCCACCCGACCGCCACCAGGGTGCAGCTGGACGGCCGCTGGTACCCGGCGCCCCGCAACCCGGGCCGCTACGTGCGCAACCGCTACGGACGCGAGGTGTACCGGCACGCCGAGCACTGGATGGACACGGGCCGCGCCAGCAGCTGGGAGCCGTACGACACGGCACGGTGAGAGCGGCCGCTGGGAGCCGTATACCACACTGACCGGCCGCTGGGAGCCGTATACCACACTGCAGGGTAAGACCGGCCGCTGGGAGCCGTATACCACACTGACCGGCCGCTGGGAGCCGTATACCACACTGCAGGGTAGGACCGGCCGCTGGGAGCCGTATACCACACTGCAGGGTAGGACCGGCCGCTGGAAGCCGTATACCACACTGACCGGCCGCTGGGAGCCGTATACCACACTGACCGGCCGCTGGGAGCCGTATACCACACTGACCGGCCGCTGGGAGCCGTATACCACACTGACCGGCCGCTGGGAGCCGTATACCACACTGCAGGGTAGGACCGGCCGCTGGGAGCCGTATACCACACTGCAGGGTAGGACCGGCCGCTGGGAGCCGTATACCACACTGACCGGCCGATGGGAGCCGTATACCACACTGACCGGCCGCTGGGAGCCGTATACCACACTGCAGGGTAGGACCGGCCGCTGGGAGCCGTATACCACACTGCAGGGTAGGACCGGCCGCTGGGAGCCGTATACCACACTGACCGGCCGCTGGGAGCCGTATACCACACTGCAGGGTAGGACCGGCCGCTGGGAGCCGTATACCACACTGCAGGGTAAGACCGGCCGCTGGGAGCCGTATGCCACACTGCAGGGTAGGACCGGCCGCTGGGAGCCGTGCGACACTCGGGGCCCGACCCACAGCAATCCACAGTAAAACCAGCAGCTGGGGAACATGGTGAGGTCAACAGCCGCAACACACATGTTCTAAGACGAACAGCATCTGAAGTCCGTACAAGAAGCAGCAGCTTCACTGCGTAGTAAGAGCAGTAGCTGTAGAACAAGCTATCGTCAGCTGCTGGAGCCCATAGCGTGTAGGATGAGCAGCTCGAGTAGGTACATCTGGCCATCTGACCGCCGCGCCGGGCCGGTGTGCCGCAGGTTTTTGGCGTGCGACTCGCCGGGCGACCACAGCTGCCTGGACCAGTACAGCACTGACGGCGTGCTGCAGTTCGAGCCCGATGTCTGGCCGGCAGACGAGTGAGCGGGACACAGCTGACGGAGCTGACAGACAGCTGACGGGCACAGCTGGCGGACACAGGTCTGGGCAGGTCACAGGTCTGGTCGTCGGCCACTGTCCCCGGTGTTCCCGGCCCTGTGTCTGTGGGGCCGATACCGTATGTGTATCTTGTGTATTTACCCCTGTCATTATGAATTTCATCGCCAAAACTGTTCATATTTGTGCATCACTGTGGGCCGACCGCGTCGCTGTGTCAGGTTTAGCGGTCGATCCTACCACCACCGACTGAGCAGTGCGTCTGCAGTGACGCGAGTAAGCATATTGTTCAAACGTCTCCGAGTTACAGTGAAGGTGCTGGCAATGGAAATGTGCACAAAATTTCGTAAGCAGATAATTTAACGATAGGCATCGTTTTAGCACCATCGCAACATATCTATAACACCAGTGGACGTTGGACCACTCCCGACATAATTGTGGCGCAGGGTTCGCTATATTGGATATACCTACTATGGCGATTGGGGATTAGTAGCGCCCAGACGGCGGAAGACGTCCGTGTCCATCTGGCTATACTGGTCTCTATCAGAAGCCGTGGCTGAATAGGTGTAACCAAAGACGTGTAAAAATAAACGATGTATATTTGGTTAAGATATTGTGCTCTCAGATCCATTAAAGTATCACGTCTGTTCCAACACGTTACTATCCGGGAGGTTTGCGAGGGGTAGACACATGTAGCCAGCCGGAGCACTAGCTGCACAGGAAGCACAGGGCGCCGCGCGACCTGCGTCCACAGGCGGGCCCCTCCCGAACCCCTGCAGAGAGGCGGGCCCCTTCCCAACCCCTGTCCAGAGGCGGGCGAACGATATTGCGGTGTCTGAAGCAAGGTTATGCAGATAACGCACATAGCACTGGACGCACAAGAACATTAAGGCACTGACGTGCCATTATAAAACGACATGGGAATACTACCTCCAACATCCAAACACTCATAGAGTTAAGCCGACTTGTCCGTTGAGGGATCTACATACTGCATAGCTTGAAAGCGGTGCCCCTCGCCAGCCACCGAAAGGAAGGATGGGAGCGTTCCAAGCCGAGCAGCGCGGAGGAGCGCTGCTGGCGCGGCGCCCCGACACCCGGCGCGGCGCCAGTCAGCCGCTCAGCTCCACTCGGCAAACGGGGAGGGACGGTGAACGCGCGCCCGCCGCAGCCCCAAACTGCAGCCCAACGCACTGTGGCCCGTACCACACAACGATGCTATCAATCTCTTTGTCAATAAACAAGGCCATCTACGATGTTACAGTACATACACAGTGACATTACTCCCACCTTACAGCATCGCCGAGCGCCTCACGACGCGGCCGCTGGCGCCGTCCGGCGGCCCTAGGCCGGCGGCGGCGGGCGCGGCGGCGGCGGTCCGTGCTTGCTCTGTTCGTGCTCGGTGATGAGGTGTTTTCCGGTGTCCTTGGCCACCCGTTTGGCGATGCCCTTGGCTCCGAGCGCCTGCACGTTGTGTCCGGTCATGGCCAGGTTTCCGGCCGAGTGGAGCGAGTGCTCTGTGACGCGGCCGGCCTCGGCGCCGTACCGGTGCCCCACCAGCTGCACCGTGTTCTCCGAGATGCTGGTGGCCAGCAGCGTGGCCGCCCGCTCCAGGCCAGTGTACACCAGGCCGAAGCCGCGCACGGCGCCCGACGCCACCTCCAGAACGTCGTCCATCTGCCGGCGGGCGCGGGGGGGGGGGGGCGGCTCAGAGGGGGCGGCTCAGACAGCGACAGACCGGGACGGGAGGGGCCGGGAGGACGGACGGGATGGGAGGGGATGGCTAAAGCTGCGACAGGCAGGGGCGGGAGGTCGAGTTCCTCGGAATTCTGCCGCTAAAATTCACGCGATCTTCATGGCGAAATGTCTCGCCCGAAGACTCCAACTCCCACCAGAAAATCACTACTGCGATATTCGAATAAGCCGGCCGAAGGCATCGTGTGCGGCGGCCTTCATTCATACTGCGACAGTGTTACAGACAGCATGATCTCTCCGATGCAAAAGAAACAAAATACCCTATCCCTCTAAAGGGTATTAATTTCATAATAAGACACCCCTCCGCTAATCTGGAACATAGGCCAGCTAGGAGAGACGCGGGGGGCCATCCACTGAACTCACCTTCCCAGCAGCGGCGTCCGGTGAACTCACCTTCCCAGCAGCGCCCGTCCGGTGAACTCACCTTCCCGGTGGCGGCCGTCCGGTGAACTCACCTTCCCGGTGGCGGCCGTCCGGTGAACTCACCTTCCCAGCAGCGGCCGTCCGGTGAACTCACCTTCCCAGCAGCGGCGTCCGGTGAACTCACCTTCCCGGCAGCGGCGTCCGGTGAACTCACCTTCCCGGCAGCGGCGTCCGGTGAACTCACCTTCCCGGCGGCGGCCGTCCGGTGAACTCACCTTCCCGGCAGCGGCGTCCGGTGAACTCACCTTCCCGGCAGCGGCGTCCGGTGAACTCACCTTCCCGGCAGCGGCCTTCTCGTCGGCCAGTCGGGAGCCCGTGATAATGCGGGTGCCCGTACGCTTCACGTGCGGCGCTATGTAGGCGGCCAGCGCCATCGTGCCGCGGCCCACCTGACCCACTGGCGACACGGGTCACACACAGCAGTATTGGTCACACGCCACAGACACGGGTCACAAAGAGTAGACACAGGTTACACGCAGCAGCATGGGTCACAGACCAAGACCACAGGTAACACACCACAGACACGGGTCACAAAGAGTAGACACAGGTCACACGCAGCAGACACGAGTCACCAATCACAGACACGGGTCCTCGATCACAGACATGGGTCACCGATCACAGACACGGGTCACAAACCACAGGCACGCCCACTGGAGATATGGTCCACGCGACCCGCAACACTCAGCAGGTTTACCCTCCGGCCCCCACCCCAACATCCAGCAGTTTCGACCGCGGCACTCACCGACATACTCGCTGACTTTGAGCGCGCCCACGGAGACCTTTTTGGCGGTCTGCGCGCCGCTCTGGAGTCGCGGGTCGATGTGGACGGGCGCCTTGGCCGGCGCCAGGTTGGACTGCAGCTGGTGGGTGCCCGTTGTCAGGTACTGACTGAGTTTGCCGGCGGCCGCCACCAGCCCTTGGAGAGCAGCTCGGCACCTGCAGGCGCGGACAGCGGCGGGACAGGGCCGGTCAGCATCAGTGTCCTACCGTGACAGCGGCGGGACAGGGCCGGTCAGCATCAGTGTCCTACCGTGACAGCGGCGGGACAGGGCCGGTCAGCGTCCTATCCGGAGAGACGGACGCCGGAAAGCGGAGCGACGGGGAGGGCTGTCGATACCGGCGACGGCTCAGAGGAGTCCAGGGGAG